TGGCATGTTACTGTAAGTACATTGTTCATCATATGCAAATACATTTGTCGGTACATACCTATGCTGAAATATGATTTATCACACAATCCTAACAGCATCATAATTCTGGTATCTTGTGACAGTTTGAATGACTGCAGAAAAAAAACCCTAGAAGTTGGCTAATGTTTCAAGCTCCAGCTAAAATGCTGAGGAATAAGCAAAGGCGTATGGAAGATATTCTGGACGCTGTGTGACCAGGGCCTGCGATACTGTACAACAAATTTAAAAATAATTGGGGCTCCCAAATCTCACCTGTGCACAGGTTGTAGCTGATGAATAAAACACCACACAACTATTACGTATACTCTAAAAAAATATGTGGTAAAATGCTACTACACTAGTTTTATAAAACTCCTGAATGAAAATGAACCATTTAAGGCCAACTGTAAATAGAATTCATGCGATTGTTAAGTCAACAAAAACCTGAAGAGAGATACAGATAAAACATATTTCAGAAGACAAACGTGAAGTTTTATGTTCGTTTTCCTGTCATTTCAATATTGTATTTCTTTATTTCAACCAAAATAATACAGAAAATACCTGGAAAGTAATGTCCTCTTAAAAAGATGCTATCTAGAAGAGCTTGAAGTAACTTGTTATTGCATGACAATTCATTCATGCAATTATTGTGCATATTGATACATGCACACAGACATGTAAAATGTGCAAACATAGGACAGAGTTTAGGAAAATTTTTCAAACATTAGACTTTTGACTTGCAAAATATGTGATTTTCATTACAATTTATGACAGTTACAATTTATGACAGAAAACCTTGACCTTTTTCTTAATATTAGGGTAAGATTGCCTATTCTCAGTCAGAAGGCGATAAAACTTCTTAAATGAAGGCATTTTTCGCTACGTATGTACATACAAGCTTTATCAGAGACTTAAGGAATGCAACTCCATTAAGATGAGCATCTCATAGGGATATTAAAATAATAATTTAAAAAAAAAATCAACAACTGTGAGCTATTAGACTGTCACAGGCTTAACCTACGTTGAATTTTTTAAATTAAGTTACTTGGCATTGCTGCAACCAGTACAAATCTATCACACAAACCGCAACTGCTGCTGAGGTTACTTCAGCTATTTATTTTTCTTTAGTAGTGCCAGCTCACAAATGCCTTCAACCTAGTCTTAGTTTAGGTAGGAAGCAGCAGCATTTAGACATATTATTTAGGTCCTACTTTTAAAATGGATCAGGAAAAAAACCCCCAGATTTATAACAACACTTACAGGCTCTTAATTAGAGAAGACAGACTCTTTGCCTTCTCAAAATGTAGATGTATCAAAATTCTTAAAATCATAGCTTCTAAAACAGGAATAGAAGTACCAGTAAAGAACATCACTGCAAATTCTTCTATTTCCACTAACAGGATGTTTCTATGAGGCATTGGTTTATCTTCTAATGGGTCACACAGCTCAGAGGGATGGCACACTGGAAGTATCTAGTGATAAATGGGTACTCACCTATCAAAAAATTCATTGATCAAGAGGTACAGCCTGAAATTACCGTCATTCAGAAATAGGTCATAGTTGACTATTCACACAAAATAATTCAAGAATCTCCTAAAATTCATAGAAAAAACAAGCAAACACAATATTTAATTTAAATTGATAGCTAAGCATTAGTTTTAACAGGCTTTATGAACACACTGTAATGCCCTTGAAATCTAGGAAATGAGCAAAAATAAGAACACAACTGAGTCTGCCACAGGTTATTATCTAAAGTAATTGCAGTAGCGTAACATCAAATATTATGAAGGCCATGTGTGGCAAATATGTCTGCATAGTGATCCTTCAGTGGTACAAATTAAGACACGCAACAAATAAATACAGGTACAAGTAGTAAAGGGATAATACTTATTCACAGTTACATCACTTACTGAACTATGATGATGGTTCCCTGCCAGCAGGTGCACAGAAGCAATGAATGCTCTCAAAACTCGATCCAAAGAGTGCAGGTTCCACTTAGGAAATGAAGGACTGCATCCCTGGGAAGGACAAACTTAGGACACTTACGAGTCAAGGGCAGACGGTCATCTGAACATGAGCTCCTAAGGCAATGTGATAGCCAAAAGATTCATGGCATCAGTTGAACGTGCTGGACAGCTCATGTTTAAGGAGATTCAAAATCCGGTTACTGTTTTTCAATGTTAGAATGTTTTGGTAAACAGTGCCCCAAAAAGCCTCTTAGGTGTTACCTCTCACTGTTTGCAAATCTAGGTGTTGTATTTATTGCTCTTTATCGTATTTTGAAACTAAATACATTTACAGCACCACCAAACAAATCAAAAGCTATTGAGAAGGGATCACAGTCTCCACAGTACTGACCACCATTTCCACCAACTTATCTTTAATTTAAGATGAAGACTGAAATCTTGGCCCCTTTGAAGTGAGTAGCAGAAATCCCATTGACTCAGCAGGGCCAGGATAGCATTGGAAGGAATGTCCTTCATTTCAAGTCTGAAGAGTTGAAGTTCTTGGATTACACAAAATGAGAAACAAAGAGTTTTAAATGATTTATTTGATTTCTCCACATGATCACAGTTATAGTTTTACATCAATAGGGTCTGTTACTACTTACAAACAGAATGCATATTAAAATGAAAGCACTCCTTTCTTCCCCATAGTTACAAAAGGGGTCTCAAGCCTCCCCAGAACAGAAGCTTCTTGTATGCATAATGTTTTTTGAAGTCTTTAACAGTCTGCATTCAAGACCTAATTCTAACAGTTTAATACAACTCAAAGCTGATTTAAGTTCCTAGCAGGAGATAGGCAACCTCAAAGTGACTGCAGACTTCTAGTAATACTAATTTACACACTATGTACAATTTAGAGAATTATCTATTCCCCCTACTGGTCCCATTTTCACCACCCCCTTTTCTCTTTTCCAAATTTAATCTTGTTATTGGTTCCACTTTTCTTTTAAATATATACACAATAATCCATTTTGCAGGCAAGAAGTGCGATGGTATTTTACAACGGAACAGCAAAATGCATGCTTAACTGCAGAAAACACACAGCTTCATATGGAACAGCAAGTCAACATCTAGAGATTCATTGTTTAAATATCTGCTGACTGTCTTTCAGCTCATTTTATCAAGAAACAAGAGGCTTCTGCTGCATGCAGTACATCATGGGAAAATCATTGTACACTGTATGTTAGACTTGGGGTTTTTTAGCAATACAAGACGCACATTATATTAGGATGAACTTTGTTTTTTGTTTTTACATTGTTTTACATATCATTCTTAACTTAAAAAAATAAAACCCCCAAATATATATTATTTGATTGTTGTCCCAGAAAAGATTTTTGTTGCCACACCTTCATTCTTTACGTTTCCCTTTCATTTTTTTCAAATCAGCATTACTACTTTGCCACATCATTTATGGGAGAAGAGAAACATGGTCACTCTATGCAGTTCTGTACCAGTTTTTAATTGGCAATGGCATTTGAGAAAAAGACCCTCTCAATTCTACTCCTGCCTGCAGGCTGAAAAAATTAATTTTCTTAACCACACGCAGTGTTAAAATACCATCATTTTCCTATTCTAGGCATGATCCACACTGCTCTAAGCAATTGTTAATCAAGGACGGAGTCAGAGAGGTTATACGACAACCCTAAACAAGCAGCAAAGTTCTTAAGACTTATGCTGACACCATGACACATTTGTTTGTTAAAAGTACATACAAATACACAGTCAAAAAAAACCCCCCAAAGCCCAAGGTAAAAGTCCACTGTTTCTCCTCATTGACTTGAAATAAGAGAGTTTACAAATACCGTGCTCTTGTATGACCAGTTTTGTTTTATAAACTAGCCTCAAAATGAGCTGTGATTTTACACATGCGACTTAATGCACCTAGAGGGTTGGTACAAACTCTTTCCCCACGTGTACATGAAATCATGTGTAAATGGTTCTTTGCATGCACTTTTGTGACATCTCCTGAATACTTAATTGATTGCACATGGAAAATCAGTGGTCAAGCATTAAAATGTAGCTTACTGTGTAAGTTTAGAAAATTTATATGTAACTCTAATTTAAATGAATGAAAGGGGTTTTTAAACATAAGACAAATGCAGATCTGGGAGATTTAACATCTTCACTGTTAATTAACACAGCTAAAGTCAGATTTTCCTCTCCACTGATACTGCATATTCTACTTTTATTCCATACACAGGCAATTTTACTTACATTATAACTCTGCATCTGAAACAAGTACAGACTCCATCACTCAGTGAAGAGGAGCGTTCTTACCTCAGTTTTAATTAAAAGATGCGGTTTCTGAAAGATGTTTATACCTGAATGGTTCTTTATCTTTTCTGGAACAACCTATAAATTACAGTTAGACTCTACTATTGGTACAGATGTATGAAGAAAAGTCTACATATTGAAATATGTTATCACTTTACTTCAACTAATATCAACAGTAACACTGATATATTTTGCAAATATACAATATGTAGAGTGTAGCCTCACACTAATAATAACATTAGATGACATGCAGACAGTTCTACTTTCCCTTATAAGAACAGTATATATTTTTTTAAACTGCAAGGAACAGAGCCTCAGGGGACCCGTATGAGTCTCTTAAGGTAAGCCGCAGAATTTAGAATAGTATGAGTGATACTTAAAAATAATAATGTAACTACTCATGTTCTTTTCTTTTCATTTCATGAACATAATTTAGAGGAGAAGGAGCAGAAGGGGAAAACATATTGCACATGTGTGAAACAAACATGGACAGCTTTAAACAAAAGGCTAAACTCTAGATTGCTGTATTTGCTCTCTGTGGAGGTTAACAAAGTGCTCAGTTCGCAGTTTTGCTGGTATTGTGATATCAATGGTATGAAAGGGAAAAAATTACTCAACCTCTCCCCTCTCCCCCCAGATATTAGAGATGCCATGAGCAAAGCCAATATGAAAAGTCACTCTCTTGTTCTCATGCCCTCATTATTCCTGACAATTTTATTACCGTTAAACAGAAAATTGACTGGTGGTTATTATTATTATTACTTTTACCCATCTCACACTGGAACTTTTTGCTCATCCTCTTCAAGGTTTGCTTTTAGGCTGGTACAGTTTTGCAGTTGTGATTCCTTTGTCTCTACTGTTTAGGTGTAAAGTCCTTGCAGTGGCTCAAAATGCTGAAACTACAAAGTAGGCGCCATGTATAACTTTGTACAGGATTTTGGGATAAAAATTGTATATAAATTTGCAAATGGTTTGATTACAACACATAAGCAACAACAGCACAGCCTGTTTTTATGTGATGTCTTGCAACTAACTGGACTATGAAAGTGAGGGTTTGAGCATAAACTCAGCCTGCTGAGTGCTGGATATTTTCAAACTAACAAATGTGATGAGTAAAAATGGTGAAGCCACTTTGTTGCTAGCACATGGCTACATGGAATTACGTATTTTTTTAATATGTATATATATATATATATAAAAACCCTATACTAAATTCTAAAACAAACCTTCAAGTTTTAGAGCACTTCCACCTGGAAACACTCTGACTAGAATTCAGCTTCATTGGGGGTAAAAATGAGAAATTATGGTAAACAGGAAACAAAGTAGCTGAGAAAGATGGAAGTTTGCCATTTTCATGTTCAAGATGAATGTTTTTGCAGTGTGTACATGCACCTGTTGTAACTCTTCATGTGTGTTCGTTAAATCATATGCATACAAAAGAAATGTGGATCATGTAAATTCACAGTTATCACAGCCTTTAAAGTGTCTAAGAATTTGTGTGACCAATGCTTGAAGATGACCACTGGTAAATGGTCATCCTACATTGCTACGGTACAATTACTGCATCTTAACAAGTTTGCTTACCTGACATAGCAGAGCAGTTATAATACTGATTAAGTATGATATTATCGTGTTAATAAAATAAGGATTTATACAAAGCAGTATTTGACTACAACATTTAAATGCTATGTTACTTGGCACATTTAGTAATGATTGCTTAGAAATCTTAGCAAGTCCAGAGGACTTTTAATGAAAATACTGAAATGTCTGAAATTTGTTTCTAACAGTTAATGTTTTTGGTCTACTCTTTCATATGCTATTCATCTATTATACTGTCCTATCAAGTAAGTGGAATTCCTTGTAAAGTCTATATTGCTAGTTTTGTGGACTGAAAAAAATTCTTTCCAAGCACAAATGTTAACTATACAGTATATATATATATATATTTATATGTATATATTTATATTATATAAAGTTTACTTACGTACTTTCATCAACCATATCAGGTCTACTTATTTTTTTTGCCCATTGACAAGAAAAGAGCAAGAATGCAACACTTGGTTCTGTATCACTTTTTTCCTTGTTTCGTAGACTAAGTTTTTATTATGCATGTAAAATTGTCAAGGGATTTGGTGTAAAAGATCGCTTTACCCATATTCAGCAAGCAGCATGTTTTCAAGGCAGTTGGAAATAAGAACTAACCAGATGGTAAACGTCTGTCGAGTAGATAAGTGAAACCAGTATCGATTGCGCTAACTTGAATTATTTTATTTAGTAACAGCAAGCCTTTAAGCTCACACAACTCAAATTGTCTAGGTAAAAACTGACAATATTATTTGTTGCTTCCTGTAAGTGCCTTTGTAACTTTGTTTAAAACTATCATTATTAGGAGGGTCAATATGTTCTAGACTATTGTGCTGATGCCACTGTGTTTGGGCTTAGTGCTGGCTGAAGTGGAGGGAGGTGGTGGCGGTCCATGGTGATGCTGAGAGTGTTGGGGATGAGAAGAGTGCCCTGGGTGCGGAGGGGGCAGCGGCGGGTGAGGAGAGTGGGTATGCTGCGCATGGGCATGCTGCATGTAAGGAGTATGCTGGGAGTGTGCCGCATGCTGGGAATGGGGCACATGTTGGTGATACTGGTGTGGATGCTGGAGATGCTGGGGAGGGTGATAGTGGTGGTGGTGGTGGTAGGGTGGTGGGTTCTGCTGCATATGACAGTACTGTGAATGGTGAGAATGCACTTGTGCCTGTGTCTGCCCCTCAGCTGGCCCTGCATGATGCATGGCAGAAGGATGCTGTGAGTGTTGCTGATGTGGGATTACTGGAGGGTGCGGAGGTTGCTGTGATGAGCCAGATGGTGGATGGCCTTGGGAAGGTGGCTTTCCCCTTTTACTACCAAATAAGGAACCTAGGAGTGAGGAGGAGTTAGGCATAGTCTGGTGAGGGCGAGATGGACACTCTCGGGTTGATGTAGCTCTTCGGCGCATGTGAGGACTGCTAATGATGGACCCCTAAAAAGAAATTAATAGAAATAAAAATTAAAAAAATCTTAAAATGTTTAAAAGAAAAAGTTCACACTGACCCACAAACTCCTCCTTCAGTGTTCACATGGGTGGACTATGTTAAAAGTTCTAGGAAAAATTTTACTTCCACCTTCTCTAAGTTGCCAATAAGGCATTCATGCCCTTCTTGGGGTATTTTAAGCATTAAATGTTCTTCTCTCAATGCTTTAATATTGAAAGCTATGACTTTAAATGAGAAAAATGTCACGGAAGAGTAACATGACATAAGACCTAGGAGTGTGTTTTTAAAGGAAAAATACATTTTTAAATACTGTAAAAAATACCATACTTGCTTTTTTACAACAAAAAATAAAACTACATTAAATTCAACCTAAATAGTTAAACACACAGCAGCAAATATTACAGTTACAATTCAGATTTCAAAACAGTATTCTAAACTTCTTTTTTTATAGTAGTTTTCCACTACTATATGCCACAGTGCTGCTTCTCAAGCCTACCTCTGAAATATGTGTTAAATGGAACCATACCATTTTTGCCACTAAGATTTCTATGTGATTGTGTTTTTCTGACCTGTGGTCCAACATTCTCTATTATTTAGCCTGGAATGGTGTATTTAGTTTCTGGAAGTTTGGGGGTTGTATTTTTTAAAAAAGAGTTAAGGGACACAACAGTACTTAGGCAAAGTGTGCTAGATTTAAACTGCAATCTACCTAAAGCAAACACAGAAATAAAATTTAAAAAAAAAAAGAAAAAAAGAAAAAAAGAAAAAATCTGCAAGCTGAATTCAGAGACATGAACAGTATATATAAATGGTTTGAAGATGAATGAAATCTCATGAAATCCACATTGAATTCACCTATCTTAATAATTTTTTCCTCCCATGCCCTATCTGTGCAATTCCATGGTGTCATGACTGCATACATTTAGCAATTTAACTCGAAAATAAGCAATGGGAATGGTTGAGCATGAAAGTCAATAGTTGTAGCTAAATACCAAACAGCAAGAACAGTGTACTTTGTAACAAAGAGCAAGTGGGCTTTTAAGCTGGGACCAGACTGAAATGGTGGCAAAAGGACACATCATATTCATTTAACCATGCTTGCAGGAACAAAGGGAACAAGGTTAGCTCAAACCAAAAATGGCATTGGTCTAAAACAAGCTGTCAGTGCTTTTTAAGCTGGAAGAATACGGAGTGAGTAGCCTAGGCATGCATTTTATTTGAGGCAGGCAGGTTATATGTTAGAAGAAAAAAGAGCAAAAAAATATGTATATAAAAGAAAGGTTTGAAATGCACATCATCACATCCAGCTAGACATCAGTAACTTCCTACTTACTTCCATATTGCTGTCTAGCGATCCTGCACTGCTGCGTCGCCCACGCTTGCCTGCCCAGGACATGCAACACCATAGATTAGAGACTGAGACAAGACCCGGGTGAAAAACAGCTGCTTTCCCTGAATCACTAGAGGAGTCTCTAAATGCAACTAGAGGAGCTGCAGGGGGGTTAACATTGCACTGGACTGGTACAGCAGCTACTAAGGCAGAAACTTAGCTTTTTAAGGCCAGTAGTTATATTAAGTTTCTGTACCTGACTAATTTTTAAGAGGTATTGTTGTGAATCAACTATCTTTAGCGGGGTGTGATTTTTTAAAAATTTGTACAACTCTTAAAATACATGTATTTTAGCATCTGTATTTAGTAGTATGGTTGATGTTGACCAGCAACAATTTTAAATTGTTTGACTTCCTGGAATCTAATTGTCTATGAAGTTTCTTTCTTTAAAGACTGGTAGCATATGCGTATATATTTATGGGGTGGTATTAATCTAAATACAAAATTTAATAGTGGCATATTCTTAACTTCCGTGTGGGAGACTGGTGAGGGGCATCGGTTTCACAATTTCATTTTCAGTTTTGAACCTCAGTGGATTTCATATAATCTTCTTCATGAGGTTTAAAAAAAACTAAACTTAATTTTTTATCAATAAATCTGGAATCTGTCTTGACATTATGGCTAGATTTTGTTTGTTTAGCTGTGCAGTGCTTTATTCTTAAGTATGATGGATTTGTTCTCCAATATTCTCAAATCGCCAAAGACATTTGCCTACAACTACACATGAAACACCAGACTGTTTGCCTAAAGAGCCAGAATACTTCAGTAGCTATATATAGGACACAGGATCCCAGATTTTCTCTCTTGTTTCACAGGAGAGAAAATAGCATATGGCTGCAGTGGAAACAGATATTTTTTGAAAAGATAGCTTGTTGAGCATTGCTTTGCAAAGTTTCAAAATACTTTACTGGCAGGGTGTATAAACAAAGATAACCTCTGAAGAATGGTCAGGTTTTCAAAGCTTCTCTAAAATCTGCATGTTTTTAGAAACCTAAATTTTCTCAATGCTTTCCTGTAAGGCCAAATATCAAAGACAATCTCCACCCTGCATTGGTACATTGCTGCCTTCAGAATCTTCTACTCTAACAGGTGGTTTTGGAGAGGAATGTTTAGATTTCAGCATCATTGAACCTATGAGCCACATACCCTCATCTTTAGAAGCCCAAAAGGCTCATGGTACCAGAGCTAAAGAGAAGAACTTTGGGACTGGTTTGCAGGTGGGACACAACAGTGATAACTGGGAGGTTCACCCTTACTTCTTGACAAACCCTCTCATAGACCAATTAAGACCCATAAGTCTTATACTATCAGTATGATCTAAAAATACCACCTATTGGATCCATAAGCGTAACTTCGACCTGGTTGGTCATGGGATGCCTCCCCAGTACAAACCCCTCTACATTGACATTAAATTGAGGGGAAGGCGTTTGTGGTCAAGGTGTTTTGTCTGGCTTGTTAGATTTGTTGGAATTTTGAACAATTCCCCTAGACAGGCTCTTTGTCAAAAGCTTGGTGGTTCATCTCTTGCTGCAGTTTTAGCCTCATAAAAACCATAACTGTGCTATCTTATGAACCCTCCCAGAAAAACTGGTTTTGATAATCCCTTTATTTTCACTTCTACTCAGGCTTTGATATTTTTCTGCTGTGCTAACGGGATTAGTACTGATTAACACTCAGATCACTCTTGCTTGCTTATACAAAAAACACAGAGGAAGATAGCCATCTCTTAACTTAGCAGTCAATATTGCAAATAAGACTGACAGCTGCCACAAGTCATTAAATGTGGCCAAAAATGAAGAAAAACAGGAAAATCTAATGCCTTTTGCATATGGCAAAGTCTCTAATAAAATAACCGTGAACACGGTATATACCCAGTATATATGGACAGAAAGAGACAGATGGATTTTTGCTTAGAATAACTTCAGGGCAAAGTAGTACTAGCAAAGCCAAGAACAAACAGAAAATCCTACTTAAAATGCCTGTAATTTCCCTCAGATAGGCACTATCACAATAAAGAGCGCTTTGTTGATTTTCTTAAAAACAAATTGAACCCAATTCTGTATTGGCCTACAGTGTGATATGAAAGCTATTAAGTAAATCCTCTAGAGCATTCCCCCTGCCAATGTGTGTTTATACAAGACTGTTCTCTGGTCTTTGAGATGGCATCCCATCTCAAAAATGTTTCCCTAGAGCTGCAGTGTTCAAATGCATTTCAAGAAAATAGTGACTCTTGACTAGAATTGTATGTAAGCATAACTCTGTACTTGCATGATAATTAATAGCTGTGATATAAAGCAAGTAGGTATTCATCAAATCTGAAGACCAGTTTTGCTTAATATATTCTGATCTACTTGAAATTTTTAAGGATGTTACTTAAAGTGGTTTTAAATTTATTTTTATAAAATTAAATTTCAGTTAATTTAATCTTTTCTGATTTATTCCAACAATTCATTGATGTTATATATGAATATTCTTTGTAAGAAATATCTTTAACTTAGATAAGTATAATATGTCCCATGTATATACATGCATTATATGGGACTAAGAATATTTCAAATTTATAGTGGAAATATTAAGTGATCACAATATTTTTACAAACTTAAACATTCCAAAAGACAGTATAGAGTTTCATTAATAAAAATCCATTCTACCTTGCAGAAATTGATCTCACAGATGTGCACAGATTGTAACAGTAAATATAAATATTTCTCACTGCTACCCTGTATTTCTTGAAACTCTGTTCTACACCAGAGAGCTACATTGATATCTAAACAATGTATTAGGATCTAGCTTTGTACATCTTGGGAAAAAGTTTGGAAAATGTTCTAAATTAATGTTTTGGTAAAGCAAACTAACGTAGCAGCTCTTATAATGATGAGTTGTCTTACTAGCCTCCAAAGGCTTTGAAATTGATATTCCCAGCAGAGCAGCAGCAGGATCTGTAACCATCTAGCTACTGAACTTATAGGTATTACTCAACCTGACTTGCTCAAAATAATCTAAATAACATGCTCTAATCAATAATTTAGAGAGACCACTTTCCAGGGTGAAAAGACTCTTTGTAACCTTCATATTTTCATCTTGTTTTCTGTGTGAAACAGGTATAGTCTTAAGATCACACATCAATTGTGAAAATAGTTTCTTGGCATCTTCAAACAGATTATTCTCAAAATACTGATTAAGCCCCAGGAGATGAGAAAACAGCATAACCACGCCTTGCCTTGCTGAACTCCTCCTTCAGTGGAAAAGCAAACAGCGTCTCTTCCATAAGACAGAAAAGTTGTTGATACAAAGGTGTTTATATACAGTGCGGGTGTCTTTGTACAACATACTTGTAAAATGGTTTGACATGAACATAGGCATATCACAAAAGACTTGATTCATAAAAATCTGTTTTATTTAAAAAAACCCAGTAAACTATCGTGCCCATTACTGTTGCTATTCCATTGAAGAATAGGAAATATAACAACAGTGACAAGTGAAGAGACAGGAACAAACTCTCCCTACTTGGAAAGGTCTTCTAATAAGGGAGAAGACGACTGCTAGTATCCTCTCTCCTATATAGTATAGCAAAATCCATGGGAGAGGAAGGAGAAAATAACCTAGTAACCCTGCCTGCATCAGATGAGGGAGGAGCCAAGGGACTGCACCATCTCATCACAGATTGATTCAACAGATGAAAGGGTTCTGTAATTGTATGAACTCAGAGTCTTTTTAAGGGGATTACGATGCTGAGAAATTCCACAATCTCTTCCATTACATTTTGGGATGTAGGAAATTTTAAAAAATACATGATGAAATTATTAAAAAACAAACAAACAAAAGAAACATTTAAAAGTTAAAGGTTGATAACTGAGATTATATGCAATATACAAATAGAATTATTTTTATTCTGAAACTAATTTATGTTTTGGTTTTGTTGTTCGCTTTTTTTTTTCCTTAAGTAGTCTCTACTGGTCTGTGATTGTTTTGACATAGCTCAGGAGATTATGAGACAAGCACAACTTATATTAATAGTAACCATTATACCATCCTGCACTTCTGTGCAGATTCCAATATCACATAGGTATGCCAGTTGTCTATTACCAAGGCAAACCATAAAATTACAATTTTTAAACCAGTGCAGTGTGTAAATATTATTTCCCGCTTACACATTAGAGATGGGGTGAATAAAGCTTGATTTCCACAGGTGCTCACCACTGTAAACTCAATGTGAAAGCACTGGGTCCTCCAGCAACTCAAAGTCACTGGAATTCAGATTGACTAGCCTAAAACCAGCCAAAAAACCTGAGAGAGACAGAATCAAAAATGCAGCCAGCCTAATCCTCCATGATCGGCTTTAGCAATCAAATCATTCCTCCCATGTACTGATGGCCATGATGGGACTCCACAGTTTTCACATCTTTCTGTAAACCTACTTATCATGTAATTGTATATGGAGTAAGTGCTGAAACGTCCAAAATTCTATGAGAAACCATAAAACTCAGCTTTAACTGCATTAAGATTTTCTTCTAATATTTTTATGTAGACTAAGAATTTCAAAGTCTGGGACAAATAAATTCAGCTCTTCCTTGACTATAGCTCAAAAATGTGTAATAGAAATGATAAATTTTTCTCTTGAGAAAAATAAAGCACTAAATACTTTTGACATATTCACATCTTGGAACAGTTGGTTGCCATATTCTGCTTTTTATTCTGTGGAAAGAACTATCAATCCACAATGAACAATACTATCTTTAAAATCAAGAGACCCTCATGCACATCCTTTTTGCAATTATGATTTAAGCTATCGTGGCAAATGCATGGAAGAACAACCATCAGGAAATGATTCCTGACATTGTTTCCTGACAGAGAAATCTTGCCTGTCCTTATGGTTTACAGCTTAGGAGTCAGAATCATTCAGGGTATCAACATTCATTAGATCTAAGAAGCTTATGAATCGTCACTCTTTTCCAAGAGAGAAGTTTAAAGTCACTTTCCACAGCCACCATTTACTACTGTGGTATCTGGTAGAGACTAATGGACTGTTTTCTTAAATAGTTTTGTCATATACCCATGCAACCAAAATGCTGTTCAATCAGATTTCCCCTTCATTGAATAAATATTTCAAAAGTTTCAATTTGTTTTTGCAATGTTCATTGGACAATTATCTGCCTTACTGCATAAATATGCAACCAGGCAATTTTCTCATGCTTACTAGATTTATTTCTGTTTAACTGTAGAAAGGAACTCTCCACAAATCCACTTTCATCATGCCTTTTCTTACAGAAAGGCACATATTCACACACAGTCCCACTACTCTTGTTCCTCTTCCTTGTTGATCCTGTGTTTCATCCACAAAAAGAACTGAGGCAACCTAATTCAGTATTCTTTTACAGAAGCAATTTAATATGGTATAATCACTGGGACGCAGTATCTTGCTAACTGAAAGAGATTTCTTTGTTTTTCTATAGATCATCTCTCCCTTATAAAAAAAAAATAAATCAGCCTCACATGCAAGCTATTCACTGACAAAAGGCAGAGAAGACATGTATAATCTCATTAAAATTACTACACCAAATAACAAAGCAAATAACAGGTATGTAATTTCTCAAGTCAGTTGCACTGCACAAGACCAAACAGAAACTCTCCATAATTCTCAACTATTTGAAGTTAAAATTAAGTTTAGTTGGGTTTAACAAACTCATTGATAAACCCTCCAGTCTGTGAGTGATTTCTACTTTTTGTTATGGAAAAAAAGCTATTTTCAGTAATAAGCATGCCAATTGTAGGCATGCCCTGTTGAAACGTGAAATGTTTTCATGATAACAAATACTTGTTTATTGCATAAAACCCATAACATGAATTTAAAAACATGGCAATGTTTGAAAGACAGGGATGAAAAATTCCTATTGGATGAAAAAAATCAATCAGAAATCACATTTATGGGTACAGATACCCACTGAACTCACATATTCAACAATATGGTAGTTCTCATTCTAATGAAATGAAACCAAAACAACAAAAAAGGATGATGGAAGTATCCTCAAATATAACAGAGGATATAACAGTGGTGAAGACTAGTGGCTTGATCCAAAATCCATTGAAGCCAATCAAGCACCAATATTCAACTTCAGCCTGATTTTGGATCAAGGTTCTAGGTCTTTTTAATGAAGCAAATGGACATATGAGTATGAAAGCCTAAACAGAGAATAAAATAATTGAAAGAGCTCACTCTCTACATATTTGTATGCACATACATATACCCACAAAACACAGGCTATAATTTCAGTTTGTAACAATTTTATTTATTGCAGCATAGCTAAAATCTCTTAAGTTAAAAAAGGAAAAAGATAACTAGTGTCTACTACCAAAGATATACATCGTATTGAAATTATGACTATACTGTAAGTCATCACTTCACTTAGAAGAACAAATCAGAGTATGTAACACAGACTATGAACTAAAAAAAAATTAAATATACATATATAGTTGCTACTATCCCCAGAAGTACTTTCTGAATAGTGGGCATGGTGTTCAGATATGAATTCTTGTAAATGACAGGAATCACATTTAACACTGAAAGACAAGGTTATTAGCCATGGTAGCCTGTATTACATGGGTATGCCAGTTGTGTATTACCAAGGCAAACCATAAAATAAAAACATACCAAACTTTCCCTGGCTTTTCTTTGGCTAAAAAATCACACCACCACTCCTTTCCAGTCTTTAGCTATATTAATCAGTTGATAAATCTTAAGACACATCAGTGGTTTTGTGAGATATCAGTATTCTTGTCCACTAAGGGTTCTTTTATTATATTGGTAATAGTATTTCACAACAACCTCTTTTGCAAGAATTGGGAACTATATCTTGAGTTACAAAACAATAAAAGAGCATCAAGGACACACTGTATCTGAATTACATAGCTCTAGACCGAATTTTGCAGGGCTTCACTCAATTTCATTCATCAAGGCAGTAATACAGGTACACTTGAGCACAAAATACACAGAAAGCTGTCATTACACGGAGACCAGTTTCTTTTCTTTTCTTTCTAAGCCTATTGTATGAAGGGGAAGAAGCAAAGGGGAAGAGAAAAAGGAAAACTAAGTGGTTTACTCCTAGCACAAGTCAATCATTTTTTTTAAAAAACACTTACAATTTTTCCTCTGTCTTCACTCTCCTTTAAAAGTATACATAGCAATCTACAATGGTTTAAATGCTTTCAAATAGTGGTTGCTTAATAGAACAAGGGTAAAAAACAAACAGAAATTAAACACTAACTATGAAAGAGGAGCTTTTCAAAATGTTTGAAGTTTCAGTATTACTAGTTCTGGAAGCCCACTGTGACCTGGGCTTTATATGCATCATTCACGCATCTTTGCATGCACTAGTCAGAGCAGGAAATAAAGGCAGTGCTTACCTGCTTCAGACAGGTCTCTAAGGGAGCTGCTCAGTGCACTTCTTTTCAGCCCCTCCCCAGTAGCATAGCTGTCATCCAGGCAAGCTCTGTTCAGTGTCCCATTGCCAGAATCTTTTTTCAGGCTGGAGCATTGAGACATGCTTGGACGCACCACACCCTTCTGTTTTTCTAGCTCAGCTGAAACAAAGAGAACAATTTTGCAATTATTGACTATAATGAAGGATGTTATAGTCTAATACTAACATCACAGTTTCTGTATGTGATCATGTATTACTGTGAAGAATAGAAAAAGAGTTCATCTTGGCACTGTTAAATGCCAGAGAGGAACTTCACCCCTGTACTAACAGCTTTATATTACAGCATAGAGGATGAAAAGCTATTACTCTTTTAGAAATACAGAAGATAAAATTCCATGTTTAAACACCCATGTAACCTCCAGCAAAATATATCTATTTGTATTATGGCTACCTAATTGAGAGAATACAGGAATATCAACATGGAAATAAAGAAAAATTCAGTGACACTTATTTGAAGGGCTGTCATTGAGAATTTCAGAGTGATGTAAATCATCCCTAAAATTCTTACTGCAATTTATACTACAAATTACAAACCCACCTCTATTCTGTCCATTGCTATTTGCACTTTGTCTGGGCTAAATTTCCACTGCAGCTACACTGCAGTAAATAATAGTCAATGAACTCAGCTAGGCCTTAAGATATCATTGGGTTTTTCCTCTTTCTAGAATCAAAGCCATGGAAAAACCCCACATTATCTTGAACTTTTAAAGAGTTCTAATGGGTTATACACATACTCAAGATTTTCTTATTTTGATTATCTTGAAAATGCTGTGTTGTATGTACCTTTGTACTTACACTCTATTCTGTGCTTTTCCATTTCTTGAACCTCTGCAATTGACTCCCTCAAATCATCTGTAAACTTCTTCCTGTCCTGAGGATTTGGTGCATTGAAATTTATTAGTACTTTGATATCTGCTCCTGGAACAGCTGACGTGAGCCGAATGCCATTGGGATAATCTAGAAGAAAGAGTCAAGAAAAACTAAGCTCTGATTATTCCAATTACTTTTCTTTTAAAAAACAAACAAACAAAGAAACAAACAAAAACCCCCAAACCCTAAAGGCTTTTTACTAATATTATCATATAGGGGACAAAGTCAGAGAAATAAAAGTCTAAAGGCACAGAATTAGAATGAAAATCCCTAGGACTGCTTAACTGTCAAGATATCAAATAAATATTGAAAGGTAGTCTTTATGCAGCTGTTACCCTTAAGGTACAATGTATAATATAAAAGAAAAAAACCAGAAAAAAACCAAAAAAATGAAGCAGATAATTTTTGTTGCATGGAACAGATCCCATTACCTACCTTACTCAATTGTGACCAAAGTTTTGCTGAGTAAAGACTACTTGAATACGACTCAAGTACTAGAAACTATCTTCTACTTTTAACTTAATGTTTGCAGGAAGACAAACACACTAGCATGTACAGCTTTTAGTATTTCCTATTAAGTTGTGTTCCCTGGACATTCTACTTTCCTTTTAAAAAAAAAAAAAAGTTTAAATTATCTGTGAAATTACATATTGATGTCCACACCCCCCACCTCGGCCTTTTGGCCCATATTATGGACATCTTCACAATAAAAGGCAGATTCTTCAGCAAACTGTCTTTGCCTCTCTTCTAGCTGCACATCTGAGAATGCAATTTTTTACAGCTGGTCAAAAATATCTCCTAGTTGAGATAGAAGGTTCATTTACAGAGAGATAGCTTATAATGAAGATAAGTTCTGTTGCAGAAAACAGAATCAGCTTTTGCTTGAAGCACAGACCTGTAGAAACAGGGTGTCAGGACAAACTCAAAATGTGCATTCTAATTCATAATGTTTACTTTTACTCAACTGCCTGACCTTATTGGTTTCCTAAAGCTCTCAAATATTTACTTAAGTATTCAACCTGAAGTTTAAGTGCTCCCACATACTAAAAATTCATTCCCGCAAGAACCAGCAGATGTAAGGTAGTCTCTTCCCTCAAAGCCATTAGGTTTCAACAAGACTTAAAATATTGAGAAACAAGTGCAGATGCTATGCTTTTTAAAAAGGATATCTTAACTTCCAAATCAGAGTCGAAACCAAAAGTGAAGCAAGTCCATTTACCATTCTCGGGTGAAAAAAGGTGCCAACTACTGCAAGCCTCAAAGGGTACAGAGGGGAAGGAAGGATAAGAATTTGGGGCTTCTGCCAGGGTCTAAAATCAACATCTTGCACAGAAGCAATGTATGGTTGATCTGCTTCTCCTGACCGCATGACAATTGCATCTACCTTCAATCAAGTAAGACAGCCACCTCAAGTTGTCTGCAGTTGCTGTCGTTCAGAATACAGCCAAATGGCCAAAAGCGCAGAGGAGTCTGGTGCTAGCAAGCTAACAGGTGGAGAGCATGGCGTAACACCATGTACAGTTTTGAACACTGAAATTGGATATGCAGCAAACAGCTCTAGAAAATGTACCATGGGGGGGGGGGGGGGAGGTTTACGAAACCAAACAAGGAAACTTAGTAACCCCAGAGGCACATGGGCTACCTTCACATATGAATAAAGAATGAATCTCCACATAATAAACAAACAAAAACATTTTATTACCAGAGATACTTCTCTACATCATATTGATTAAGCATCAGCAAACATGTAAGTATTTACTGGTTTCAGATACACTCTCTCTAAAGTCATCTGCTCACCCTTTATATTTTGTTAGTGATTTTGACTGAAAATGTAAGATATACTTCCCTTATCGCCTATTTATTTACTAGAGATATATGACATTATTTTCCCTTTTGGAGTTCATACATCCCTCAACGTAATTGACTTCTGTCATTAGAAGTCAATTCTTCTATCATCAACACCAGTCGTGTTGTTCAGCCTCACCAGTAGCCAAACCAATATTTTTGTTGCTTCTGCTTTAGTGACATGAAATTTTATTCACTTGAAACCAGCTGATTGTGACAGCTGCTACTCACAAATTTACTGAATGGCATGATGGCTCTGGCCAAAATACCCCAAAGCTTGCTGGGGACAGGGGAAAGACTACTTCTCTCTCCCAACTGGAAAATACTGCATTCCACCTAAGAGGTACCAATACTAGAAGTACAATCAGCTCACTGATTCACTGTAGCGAATTCACCTTAGGAGTCCAACTATCTCTACTAAAGTGTCTCAGTTAATATGCTTCCAGTTCACTGGGAGGAATCCAACCCTTCACTCCTAGTTTCACTATAGGTATTTTCAAGTTTACTTGTGTGTTGGGTTTGTGTGGCAAGGTTTTGGTAGCAGAGGGGCTACAGGGGTGGCTTCTGTGAGAAGTTGCTAGAAGCTTCCCCTATGTCCAACAGAGCCAATGCCAGCTGGCTCCAAGATGGACCCACCGCTAGCCAAGACCAAGCCCATCAGCAACGGTGGTAGCACCTCTGGGATAACATATTTAAGAAGGGAAAAAAGTTCCTGTGGAACAGAAACTGCAGCCAGAGAGAGGAGTGAGAACATGTGAGAGAAACAACCCCGCAGACCCCCAGGTCAGTGAAGAAGGACGGGGAGAAGGTGCTCCAGGCGCCGGAGCAGAGATTCCCCTGCAGCCCGTGGGGAAGACCACGGTGAGGCAGGGTGTCCCCCTGCAGCCCAGGGCAGTCCACGGTGGAGCAGCTCTCCACCTGCAGCCCGGGGAGGACTCCATGCTGGAGCAGGGGGATGCCTGAAGGAGGCTGTGACCCCGTGGGAAGCCCGTGCTGGAGCAGGCTCCTGGCAGGACCTGTGGCCCGTGGAAAGAGGAGCCCATGCTGGAGCAGGTTCGCTGGAAGGACTTGTGACCCCGTGGGGGACCCATGCTGGAGCAGTCTGTGCCAGAAGGACTGCAGCCTGCAGAAAGGACCCATGCCAGGGAAGTTCATAAAGAACTGCAGCCTGTGGGAAGGACTCATGTTGGAGAAGTTCACAGTGGACTGTCTCCCGTGGGAGGGACCCAACACTGGAGCAAGGGAAGAGTGAGGAGCCTTCCCTCTGAGGAGGAAGGAGCAGCAGAGACAACGTGTGATGAACTGATTCCAACCCCATTTCCCATCACCCTGCGCTGCTGGGGGAGGGGGGATGTAGAGAATTCAGAAGTGAAGCTCTGCCCAGTAAGAAGGGAGGGGTGGGGGGAAGGTGTTTTAAGATTTGGGTTTATTTCTCTTTACCCTACTCTGGTTTGACTGGCAATAAATTAATTTTCCCCAAGTGGAGTCTGTTTTGCCCATGATGGTAACTGGTGAGTGATCTCTCCCTGTCTTTGTCTCAACTCATGAGCCTTTCATTATGTTTTCTCTCCCCTGTCCAGCTGAGGAGGGGGAGTGATAGAGCGGCTTTGGTGAGCACCTGGCATCCAGCCAGCGTCAACTCACCTCAATGTGAATAATAAAGTGTTTCTACTTAGCATGCTTATAAGATTTTTTTTTTTTTTTATCTAACTTGACATCACAGGAATTATACATTCTCCTATTTTTAGTAGAATCCATGATAGAAATATTCGGCTTTCCTCTCTAAAAAATGAATTTTATATCACATAATGTGTGCACAAGAGAGAGAGAGAGAAGGAATGCGTATGCATATAAATAATCTGCGGGCTACATTGCTGCTATAAACTCCACAAAATCTTCCCTTTTGAAATCTCCAGATGCTTTGACTCAATAACAGCGACTTCTTTTGAGATGAGCATTGGAGCACATTCTCAAGGACAAGCAAAAACTAAGAGTCTTCCACAACAGAAAAGCACAGAAACTGCTGGATGTCACACTGAACTCTAATTTATTTATCATGCAGGTCAAGGTTTGGTTTACAAACCATGAAGTCAGGTCCAATAGACTGTCTCCCTATGTACCATACAAACAACTGTGCTCTGCTACATTGTTACTGATGCTGTCTCAGGGCTTAAAATCAGGACATTAGCAAACTATTTGCTTTTTGTTGGATTTTTGTCTGCTAAGACTAAGCTTGACAAGCATTAAAGATAAAACAAATATTGGATTGATGCAGATTACGACTGACCTAAACAAAAGGTATCAGAAAATATAAACTTTAATCCAGACTCTCTGCTTTGTATTTATATTTGAATGAGTAGACATAACCTAGGCACAAAGTGAAGATATAAATCAGGAAAATAAACTAAATATTGCTTTGAATTACACATATCATTATAAGTAATTATTTATTATCATATATTCAGTTCCAGCTAACTGTACCATTGACTCAGCAACGGATATATTTGTTTCTTTACAAGTATTCACAAACAACACATTTGGCTAGATTTGGCTTCTGACTACACCGAAACAAATCTAACAGCAGTCTTGCTGTTTCTTATGCTAACACCATCTTGCTTTAAACTTCAGGGGTAAGTTAAATTCAGAGCAATTTTATCCCTAAATTCAGAATCAAGCCCTGTCCATCCCTTTCACTCAGACAATTTTTAATTTATTTTACTTATAAATAAAATGGTCATCTAAAAAGAGAGGAAAGACTTACACTGGTTCTCAAAAAGAAGAACTTGCATTCCATAGAGGGAAAACGACTGTCGAAAACTGTATGTAACTGAGTTCTTCTTCTTTTGAAAAATCTTGGTCACCTGAAAGTTATCAAATAAACAAAGTGAAATATCCCTTTAACCATACGTGTTTGTGGAAAATTATTGTTCTTAAGAATTAGCACATGAGACAATACTTCATGTCAAAGAAAACTATAATCTGCCAGAAAATAGGAACTTGTAATTTTTTCCTTTTTTTTTTTAATGCATCTGATGTGTTTACTCTACTACTACTGAAGAAACAAAGCTAGCTTTGAAGCATTGGTATCTCTTAACCAGAAGGTTTAGTATTTTATCCAGACGCAAAGCATGTGTTCTCTATTCTCCAGAATGCTACTCCTTGAAAGAAAGAAAGAAAGAAAAAACCCCTGCATCCTTATTGTGCACTGTACAAGCTAGCAAAAATGTAAATATATTTAAATTATCCTTTTAAAAAAACTTAGCTGCTACCACACTTTCCTCTTACAGTCCTACTGCAGGCAGCACACACCTATGGACCTCTCCACACAAGTTCAATTCTAAGCCCTTATTCTCACGTGCTGTGACCTTCCAAACCTGCTTCACTTCTGTGCACCTTTGAATACTGTCTTACACTACCTCATTCAATGATGCCCTGTTTTCCCTGATTTGTACAGCACCTACCTCAATAAAAGCTCTGAGTCTGTGGAAACCTTTACTTTTTGCTACAATAGAAATAACATACTACTACTTACCATCAATTTGGGGGTTGTCTGAAGTGTGAATGCGACCACTCTTCCTCTTTATAACCAAGAGGTTTTTTTTTTTACTAGTTCTTTCTAATTTTACTTTTGGCAATGGCTTTTTACTAGAACTGACAAATTTGGTCTATATTACTCCCAACACAGTTTGATAAAATTACTGACATCTGAGTAAGTAATAAAAAGCGACAGAAAACTTGCAACCTGAAGATGACAATGTACCATCATTTTACACCCAAGCTCACATTTACCACAAGGAGGTTACACTCACAATCAAAAGGACTAATTTTTTTTATTTTATTTACTTCCTTGTTTTAAGGGCTGAAGGTATGTAAAAATTACACAGAATAAAATTGTGCATCTGAAGTGTGCCTTTTTCGTAACAAAACATGAAATACTTAGTTGAGTTCTTAGTTCCCAGGTAACAGCCAAATACATTCCAAATAGAGTGCAACAAATTTTCCTATTTTTAAGGGTAAATCAACCAAATAATTCCAAGCTATCACTAGTTTTGTATGTCTGTTTTTCAAAAGACTGGGTCAAGTTAAACATACACTAAAAAGTAAAGTCAACTGTAAAATGTCTTTCAACATATCCCATTCCTGTTTCAGTGAATAAACATATATGGTTCATAGAACATCTGGGGAATACAAAGTAGCATGCAATTTTGTTTTTCCACAAGTAACTTAAATTCATTATTCACGGAATAAAGAATGTCTCCATTTACCCATTAGGGAAATGGGTAAACTGGAGGTAATTTTTGTTCTTTATAGTAAAAGCTATTGCATCAAAGTACTTTCTTACAATAGAGTGTAGTAATCAATAAAAGGCTTCAGCTTAAAAGCAAATTATATATAATGAAGAAAATTAAGAAAATTTAAATCTTAATCATCCCAAGATCGTTGGAGTACAGAGTAACAGGTAATAGATATTTATTTTTAGGAATGCTCATGCACTTAATTGCCACTGATTTCATAGAGATAGGCATTTCTGAAAACATCACTAAAAGTCTATCCACCTGAAAATACATACCACAAGAAGATCATTAAATAAAAATATTTCTCGCTGGTGCAATCCAAGCTTCTGAGGTTTATTTGGATCTGGCACTTCAAACAGCCTACAGTAGCAAACAAGCCTCCGGTGGGGTAGAGAGAGGACCTATGGTAACACAAAAGTTCATGGTTAATATCGCAATATTTAGCCAAGAAAGAGCATCTTTCATACCCAGAGTCTTTTTTTGAATATTTCAAATATTTTTACCTCTAAGTCCATTAGACTTTTTCATCAAAGGACCAACAACAGAAAAATAAAGTTTTATATGCCACAAACTTGCATGACATTCAAACTTCATCAAAGTTCTTCTATAAAATATTCTCTAACAGCTTGCATTCCTGTATATGGATGCCAATGAAAGTCTTACTGGGGATAGAGTTTTACTTTGTGAAACGATAAAACCTTGAAAGAATTTAAGATTAAGCAAGTGGGAGGTCAAAGCAAAGGATGTTTGCTTTCCTGAGCATTTTTACATATCTTTATTAGAAGAAAGGATGCAAAGCAACTTTAGCTTTTGTGAGACGAATACGCTGATGTTGTAGATTACTTTTTGTCAGCCACTGAGTTAATTCAATTTGTTCATTCCCCAATGCCAAGGAAATGGTGACATCAGGAAAAAGTAAATGCATTTTCAGTCTGGCTTATTTTCTCATGCTGGCAAGAAAGCCAAGAATAATTTTCCATTTTCTTATTTGAAATGTCTGCTGAAGCTATCTCCGAAGCTGCTGTTTTCAACCTAGTGAGACTTAATTTCTTTCAAATGCAAATGATGTATCTTGCCAACAATACTAAAAGAAATCCTTTAAACTTTTAAAATTTGAAGTAGAGAATATTCTTTGGTAACTAGACATATATTTCATTTATATATTATATTTCTTTATAATTCCTGATTCTGCATGGGAATTACAAGATTTACTAGGCAAAAAGAAACAGTCAAAGACTGTTAACGCTTCTTCTTCCTCTGTGTAAGCAGGGGGAAAAAAAGAAAAAAAAGGGGGAAAAAAGAGTTTAGGATTCACTATCTGCCCTTGTTCCTGGTTGATTATCAAGTCATTTGGTGAGATTTCAGTTTTTCCCCCAAATCCAAAGATAACTATACTAATAACAGATAAAATGCTAATACCACTTAATTTATCTATGGCATTAGCTTAATTACGGTCCCTGAACTTGCAAGGAGAAGGTATTTAAGAAAAAATCTGACACGTTCTAAAGGAGCCAGTGTGGTGAAGAATGCTGGAAAAATCAACGGTTTCTAATTTCCGTCTATTCTGGTAACAGCTTACATGGGTTTTCACTGAAAAGTGGCTGGAATAAATGTTGCATGTTCTCATTCCCTCCTACCTCCAGACTTAGCTTCCCCAGCACATGGCAGTTCGAGATTTACTACAGCGAGATAACAAAATCCAAGAGTAGTCACTGAGCCTATGAATTTGCAAACAACTACAGTGAGCTCCAGTATTGAAATTTAACTATAGACAGTGCTTTCACTCATAGCAATAGATGATCTGGTAACATTCCATTCCACCATATTTTATAAAGGTCAAATCTTTCAGTTTGTTTTTACAGTCCAGTGGTACTGCTAGACTTGCATCCATGAAACAATGACAGGTACTTCACTTAGGAATATGAAGCTAGCTTTGTGTGATTTTAATTGTTTACACAGAAAAAGCAAGAAATAGAAGAGTGAAAAAACAAACGAAAGTTTGAAGTTCCTTCTCTGGATTGTCCTGAATGAAGATGCTAATGCACAGTGCAGTTATAACTGAGAGAAAAAAAAATATCATTAGGATCAAATTTGTGTAAGATAATCAGACTTCAGAGCACTATGTGCACTCCTCTGCGATGAGGTGGTTTCTTTGTTCAAAACTACTAGCAATAATATTATCATGAAATTAAATTAAGTGGAACACTGCATTAGAAGAATAGTTTTAAGATTATCATTGAATATGCCTATAACTTAAATCTGGAATCAGTATTTTCTATGTTTATCTACCTTTCAGAATAGAACTGTTTAATTAACTGGCAATATCTTTCTAGAGTATCATTCAATACTGAAATGGACCAGAAAGAATAAACACACCAGGGTCCAGGTGGAAAGGTGAGGTGCAACTGTAATTTTACTTATTTGTTTATTCTTTACTGGCTGTCTAATTTCTACAGTGATAATAGCATTATGAAATGCATAAGAAGTGTACCAAAAAGGTCTAGAAAACTCTTGGCAATAAATTAAGCAGTCTCTGGGAAATATATTTTTAAGAAAAGTCTTTATACTTTGGAGAGTTATTGCTACTACAATAGGAAAATTTTGCTTGAAAGAAGCCCAATTTTTTAAAAAGTTAAAATGTAATAGAATGCATTATTGCCAGTTTAAGAAAACGCTGCCAGTTAAAATGACTATAAATTTTGAAGGAGTATGAGAGAAATACCTACACAACCAAGTCCATGATGCAGAGATCCAATCTACAGTAGAAAGACATATACAAGTTCATTAAACTTCAGAGAAACACAGTACTGTATCATAGCAAGTAAATACGTCACGGTCTTACTATGACTAAATGCCTATAAAGTAAAAACAAATATTTCTATCAATAAAGACTGTTGGCTGTTTCCTCAATTTTCTTTCACACAGTTAAAAAGTCTCTCAACAGAAGAATCCTTGAGCCTAGGACTCCATTGAGGGCATTGTTTTCTTAATCCCATTTAATTTACAAGGTCAGGATTAGCTTTAGGATTTGAATTGCCACATGCTTGAATAAAAAAAGAACCATGAAAAAACCAGTCTCCCACAGAAGCCTATATATAAACCTAAATCCCCAAACAGTTACAGAAAATAAGTTTCATACAAAAGCACAAGTGACTGTCAAATACTGACTTTAGAATATTTACTTCTCTTCTCCACAGAAATATGGAAAAGTTTTTATTAAGGAAATTTTGCTTTCTCTCTCCTCTGCTTCTTCCAAGAGATCCCCTCAATATTTCCTTACTGGGAAACAGAAGTAAATTCGATTTTTTTTTTTTTTTTTTTGGTGGTCCCTCATTCCCTTCTCCCCCTCCCCACATTGAGGCTTGTCTGAGAAGAGATTACAATTCAAAGCTTTTTAAAAGCTCTTTAATTGAAGATTAATTTACATAGCAAAGTACCTCAGGATTTTTCCAAGAACAAAGCAAGAGGTATCTTTGGATGCTCAAACCCAGCGTTAGAATCCCTGGGACCTGATTTCCAGATAAATTCTGAGACAAAATGACACAGTTTCCCCTTACAAATGCCAGTTCATAGAGCTAGCTGCAAAGCTGAGAAAGATGCTGATGTGAACAGTTCTCTATTACTCTTGTAAATTATGGAGTCATAACTGATAGCATAGATGTTGAAATATGATTCTCTACAACATCACTTCAACATAACACTTCAATTCTCTTGAAACAAACATGATAACTGCCTAAACTGCAGATATTTCAGAATTGTAAAGCTTCATATAGAGAAAAGAGTTTAAGACTCATAACATCATCACTCATGAATACCATGAATACCATGAAAACCAAATTTTGCAACAACAAAATTCACCTGCACTATGAATACTCCAAAATTAAAACCAACCTTATAGCAAATTATTATTTTGACAGTTTCTGCCTTTTGCCATTTATTGACCAATTTAGACTTCTAAGCAACACACTTCTGTATTGTTCTATACTGTACATTGCCCTACATCTCCTTAGTAACTGACAAGCAGTGCAAAATGAACTTACCGGTTTCTTTCCTACTATGAGTTTTTCAACCTTCTGGACTTGTGATACGTGATCCTCATTCGTCTTAAGTTCCCGTTTGCGGATTCTCTCATAAATCCCAATCAGCATTTCTCGTGGGATATCCTCACCATCATCCACACCTGCAAAAGCCAACAGTTTCTATTATTAGTCTGACTCTGAATGATCTAACAAACACTGTTACTTCTCAGCAATGTACACTTCTCAGCAAGGAGAGGATAAAAACATGGGCAATCTTTGTTTCCTCTGCTAACTAAAGCCAACGTTGCCTAAGACTGCTGATGTACTTGTTTATGCTGTTTTGTTTTATAGCCACCAGTACTCTGTCAGCTAACATCTCCTATGCTGTCCTTGAGCCTACCTTACCAAAGCAGCAGAAGTTATGTTACTCATTACTGAAGCACTGATTTTTGTCCAAAAGCTTGCTGCTCCCAATATGCCAAGACACTGATGTAAATTACATGGGGTTTTTTTGTTTTAAAACTCTAATCTAAAAAAATAAGCCATAAAAAGGCTAATTGCCTATGTAAAGTCTTTTTTTCTTGTAAGTTTCCTCTGTTTTGTATCAAAGTTCAAATGAGTTAACCCTTTAGACACTAAAATCTCTGTATGACTTCCTCCTAGGACTATACCACTGGGAGGAATCAGAATAACCATTCCATTTTGCTTCTGTCCCAGTATTACTCAAGACTCTGTTCATAAAAGAATTTCATACCCAAGAACCTTATGAACACCCAGTAAAATTAATTTAACCAATATTTCCTGTACAATTTCAAAAACAATTAATTTACTCTGGAAAAACAGATCAACAAAATAGCCTAGTTATGGTATTATTGTTTAGCACTGTGTGATTATCATTGGCACATCAGTATTCTAACAAATGCCAGTGCCTTTAATGCTTGATCCTGAATTTTTAATAGCAGTGGAAAGAGTCTCATTTCAATAAGTGACTTAAAGCTGGATTTCCTGGGGAGAGGGAGATGCATGTCTATTTTAAAGTAATAAACTCTTATCTCCCATTCAGAAGCCAAAATAGAATATTTTGTCACCCAGCGGAACAACTGCTCACGTAAAAAATTCTGTGATAAAATACAGTTTCTTTGCAACTAGAAGCAAGCATAACACCCTCTGTTCTGTTCCACACCAGCAAGTCTTCCACAGACGACCCTTTGCAATCCAGTTATTTAAAGTTATAGGCAAGGTAGCCTGTTATAAAAATGCCTACAATAATAAGAAATTGCTGGCATTCAGGCTGGAGCTCATAGAGAATGTACTGTATTCAATACAACAAATGTAACTGTAGTATTATGCTAAGAGATGAATATCAGGCCTTTTTTAATCTTTGTGGATTTTATGATATAATCTCCACACTAACTTAAATTTTGCTATGCTAAAAATCTGCTAAGCATAGATCATTCATTGCTGTCTTATATAACTCTAAGGGCATTAAATCACTAAACAGGACTTTTCATTTTCAAGATCTGAAATTCCAGAACACCACAAGTCTTTTGTTTTTACTAGTACTAAAATGAAAGTACCACATGCACACATGAATACAAACTGCCATGCATCTGAGATGCACCGCTATATTTTTATATATTAAGCAACTTGATTCTGTCTCTCTGACCTTCAGCCCACTTTTAGATAGCACTGAGAAAATGGCCGTTAAACAATACATCAGCACTTGCTGGTGCCTGCAGTTGTGGGCCTATTCTGCTACCATGCTGCCACATACATTGTTGCCAAGAGAGACTGTGCACTAAGTTGTGCTTATTCTGTGCTTGAAAGCAGGAGGAGGAGGAGAGGGTTGCAATGATGGAGCAGGCAATTTTCCTGGCCTTTGCACAAACACATAGTAATGGAACTATAGTGAAAGCTGCTTTTTCCCTGTGGGCACAAACTATCATAAAAGAAAAAAAGGGATGGGGACTTCAGCCTCATTTTATTTCTCTAACATCTGAGTGCTCTTCTGTGTTAAATGGTAAATGCTGTTTGACGCATTCTTCCTTGAGTGCCCAAGAACAACAGGAGATTATCATCATCTCATGCACGATCTTCCTCCTCAGCTCTACAGTGACTACTGCCTCTAAGGTAGAGCTGAGCACTGGCTGAGCTGATACTTCATAAAACCCTGTTCTTTTTCACCAGAAAGAACCAGGACAGAAAGATCTGAGATACAGATTTGAAAAAATATCTGTGTTCTTTTGGCAATCTAATTGCAAGCTTAGGTGGGCCATAGCCTGTCAAATAGTAGACAAGGCACTTCAGGACATGGTTTAGTAGGCATGGCTGACAGTTGGACTCAATCTTGAAGGTCTTTTCCAACCTAACCAATTTTATGATCAGAAATTATACCAATGAAGAAATCAAAATGAAATTTCTGTGCTATTTACCATGTACCTTTCATGAAGGTTTTGGAGTTAGGTTCTTTTTCCCCACTGAGAATTTAGATCTTTAGTTTATTTCCAAAAGTTCTCATCATGGCACAGTTATTTCTGTTCCTTAATATATATACATATATGGAAATAAAAGGACCTGACAATACATCCACTCAAGAAAGACAAGATAAAAATGACATAATACTATATGCTTAATTCTGTTTTCGCTATTCCACAAATAACTAAAGCCTGTAAAAATGACTGCAGTTTTAAGTCAGGTGAAATCAGAATCAAGTGCTCTCTATTTTGTCTTTTTCCCAGAAGATACACGGTGTCCCTCCAATGACAGTTACAGTGAAAAGCTTTCATGACCTTCATCATTAGAGTCTGCTTACCCCGTAGATTCTTGACAAAATCTTCTAGCTTCATTTTGCGTTCTGGTTTCACATTTGGGCTGTACATATCTGTGTTTAACAGTATGATGGCAAAAGCTAGAATGAAGATGGTATCAGGATTTCTAAATTGTCTCACAACACCTGGATTGCAGATACAGTATCGTTGGCTGTAAAAAAGCAAAGAGGGGAAGCTGTCAGAGCTATGAATAACTATTCTAATTCCACCAAATAAACCAACTGCTACACTCCAGAGGCTAAGCAAGCTATTATTACTCGTGTTCCAGACATACATTTAGCTTTCCGTCCACATATTTTCATAAGCCAATACCAGAATGTGGGAAGCTTTTGTTTTCTACTACCACTGTAACTTCACTTAGGACAGATTCTGAGCTACAATAACTTCAGGATTATTTTTTTTTCAGTGAGTAATACCCATTGACACCAGGTAAGAGTACAACATTGATTTTAGCTTACTGCCACATGATGATTTACGTCTCATCCTGCCCTGGATAAAGTATGCTTGTGTTAGTGTTAGTAAGTTAATGCTCTTTATTCCACTATTGTTGAAATGCTTAATGAAGTTTGAGAGCATATATACTCTAAAATGTAAATGGTCCTTTAATTCCACTCATATAAATTATTATATCCAAATACATTGTTAGAGACATTCAAAAATCCTTGAATATGTTTTCAGCTGATGCCACAAAGAACTTTTAATTGAGAAACCTCGCTGCATTAATACAAATGACATACATGAACAGCAGCGGCAAATAAAACTTCCTATTTCATACTTAAAACCACCACAAACAACATGCTGTATTTGAAACTGTAAGTAGCTCACAAGGACACTGCAAATAGGCAGGGAAGTAACTTAGATATATTCAACTTCCCCAGTTCTCCAGTTTGACCGTTAGACAACAGCAGGTTTCTGGTGACGGAGTAATTTATTTCAGCATCATACCTAAAAGCTTCAATGAGCCGTTCTACTTTCTGGGCTTCTCCTTGAACACGGATATGAGCCTGAAATTTCCTGAGCGCTTCATCCAGTTCCATTGTTGAGAAGTCCATCTCATCCACAACACAGCTAGGATAAAAACATATTGCCATTGTGTCTTTTAATTTCTAACAACACAGAACCAAAGGCAAGATTTCAAGACCAAAAAAACCTTTCAACTTTCCATCTCTTGTAGAAATTCATGGAGTTTTTTGAAATATTCAGCAGCAATTGCAATAATTGTAGGTAAGCTGTGAAGGAAGGATTGCAAATAATGGATCAATGAGAATGTGTACCTGTAAGCAGGCCCTTTTTTTTTTTTTTTTTTAAGAGAAGAGCTGCTGGAATGACAAATGTCTGACTAATGTAAGTGACATGCTATTGCCAAGAATAATTATTGGTTTTGTGCTTCCAGGCCAATCAATTATTACTATGCTTATAATAATAATAAATAGTTTATACTGCTCGAAATATCATATCTCAAACAACCTGCAGCAAGTACAATAATCTGTACCAAATGGCTCTGTGTCTAGGAATGTTCTTACATACGGAGAAAAAACCAATCTTGTTTGGATACTCTCTTACTATTACTGTAATTCTCATCTCCCCATCATTTGCCATGTCTTTCAGTTAACATATATGAAGAAATAATTACTTTCTTGCTCTGAAAATAGTGCTGACAAAAAATAAAAAAGAAACCAGTTTAACATAATCAATGATGTGAACTATGTCATTCTAACACTTTCTTTAAAGACTACTTTAAAATCAGAAGCTTATAAATTTCCTTTCTTTAAACTTAGCTTTTAGTTTTTAAATAACCAGTCATGAATCACTGCAAGTAACAGCACTGTAATGCAGAAACCACAGAAAGCACAATCCAGTTTTAAAAGCCTTTTCTTAAATGTATAGCTATAAAATGATAGAGTAGCTCACATTTTTCTTCTAGTAACATTGTAGCTAACATAGATTAATACCAAAGCAATTTATTCACTTTGCCTTGAATATTTTTCCCTTTATGCAGAACTGCAAGGAAACAAACACAACAGGCTTGGCATGTCTCACACCCTTTCCAATCCACACCTAAAAACCTACTATCAGTTCTGCAGTAATGTTCACAGTCTTCCCACCTATTCTAAGTTCTGTAACACTTTCAAAAGCTCTTTTCTCCTTCAAAGGTGTAAAGCACATGTGCAGACAAGCTGGCAAAATGAAGTAATTAGAGCAATTAAGGCCCTCCAGAAACATGCTGGCCAACAACATAATGGGGAGGGGTCTTAAATAATCTTTTATATGAACTACAGGGATAGAGCAGATATACCACCATGGTCCATGTTCTTAACTGGAACCACTACTTTTCTGCAAATATTTAGTAAACAAAACTTTTCTAGTGGCTACATAATGGCAAAAAAAGGAGCAAGTTATTTTAGCTAGGTCACTACAGTAAATGAAAACATGAAAGTAAGTAAGAGCAGACACACCTGTTCCGTTTTTGTTAACAATAGTTAACAAAATGATAATCCTTGATAATAATACCATGATCATAATGCTAAAGAGAACATGATTAAATAGATTTTAGTCACTGCAGGAGAACTTGAGTACATATGTACTCTGGGTGAATAAGCTTGTGCTGAATGACCACATCTTCACTATTACAGTTACATGTCCCAGGCAGGTAAAAGCAAGAAGCAGCTAGGCTTCACCACTTCTAGGTGGGCAGATAATTGAAACTTCTTCCTGGGAACTATCCCCTGCTTACCACCTCTCTACAAAATTTAGGCAATAAGAGTGGAACATACCATTTGCTGGGTTGGTGCAGCTACAATTGCCTTGGTTCTCTACTGTCCCACTTGCTTGTACTCTTGCACATAACTGCGTAGTGTAACGAACTGAAATGATGGAGTCCCGTACAGAGCAACAGAACGTCATCCTTTCCCTCTCACTTTTAACAGGGTTCTTTATGATGGTTTTATTTTATTCTTTCTTTGAGTGACTGCACTTTTGTTTTCTAATGCAAAGTCAAGAGACAGTAGAAGGTCAGATCCTCAGCTACACCTCTATTACATCAAGCACTCCTTGGTCAGGCTTGCTGCACAACAGCAGTGTTTCAGGAAGCGTGTCTGATGTGCCTCCTGTTGGCCAGGGCAACATCAGTGCCAGCTGTGCTAGCCCCACGCCACCCAAACAATGCCTTTACACTTGAGATACCACCAGGTAGCAAACTACACTAGGCCCAGAATGCAGCTCGTGGTCCAAAATTTAGGCTACTCTCTTGACTATTTTCTAAGCTCCAGTGAAAAGAAGTTTTCAAACCGTTAAAACACCCTAGTCTACAGGATCTGGGAAACTTGACCACAAATCAAAGCAAGTCACTTGAAATTAAATTGCGTAACAGAAAAAGGATCATCTGTTAAAATATCTTTTCTATGTAACAATCTGGGGTTATTTTCAGTTCGACAAAATCTACCTCCAATCTGTAAATGTGATATTTAAGATGAAATGCTATTCTATTTTCTCTTTTTAAGAAAAAATACCTTGTTCCTATTTGCAGGCAAGGTTCAGAACACTATCAAGAGAATTGCACCGCTTACAGGGTGTTACTTGCCCCAAAGCATAGCTGAAATAGCTTATTTAAGAATAGATTAACTTCAATAAAGGGATTGTTGTGGGGTTGTAGGTAGGTGATTGTGACCCTACTCTTAAGAATTCACCTCATCACATCTGACTGAGCAGAGACACACTTGTATTTATGCATATTCTGCTAGTCTGTTTGAGACGGTGAGGGCAAATGATTTGTTCAAGATCACTAAATGCATCATCTAAGATTATAAATCATCTTGTCCTCACCTGTACTGTTTTCTTTTAAAAAATCTGAAATTACACGCTCTTTGAGAAGTCTTCACCCTAGTCTGACTCATAATTGCAAAATTCAGACGATCATTACAAGTAACTGATAATGACTCATGCTGAATAGGGATTGCATCAAAATCAAGCCATATTCTATTACTCTGCATTGTAAGGCAGGCTGCATGCTTTGGTACAGAGGCTCTTCTATTGCTTTCTGTTGGGTTTTGTACAGGAATAGGAGAGACAGGAAAGAAAGGGAAGACCTCTAAAAAAAGGTCTATGGCATACGTACATATGTACACATGCCATTAGCTGTATTAATACAGTGTTCGAGCTTGCAATTTGAGATACATAAGTTCTGACAGCATAATAGTAAGATCAGGATGACTGTAGAGAACGTGACCAACATCTTTGCAGTATGAAGGCAGTGAGAGCAGTCTATAAGAAATATGCAAAGAAAATATAAGGTATTGGCAGACCGTTTGTATCATGATACCGCAACCTTAAATTTTTTGCGATGTATCAATATTATGGTATCAATATTGCATATCAACATGCAGTCCTGAAGAAAGACTGCATCTACAGAGCAATGCAAATTTCAGCACAGCTATTGTTATACTCTGGTTAAAACCTGTGGTCAGAATTTTTCCTAGTCTTCCTTAATGGGCAAGATGTGGGGTTTCTTTGCTTTCATTCTCAGTGGCTTGTTAAACATCTAACTGAATTTTTTATACAATTCCTTGAACAAAATTGGACTAGGATGTATTCATGTTTATAGGTGAGTATATCAGACACACACACAAAAAAGCCCCAAAAGAATACATGTTTTAAATGAACACCTTCTTAATATAAAGCAACTCCTTTTTTGGTCTACACAGTATATAAGGTTTAGAAATTTATGACCAAGCTGCTAAAGTCTAGCTTTCTGCTTTGGATTCCTTTGGTTTTTAGAAGAGTTTTTGTTCATCTAATCTTTTGGAAAAGAACAGTTTGTATAGATCTTGTCAGCATATGCCTGTACATGCTGAAATCCCTGTTTATCTAACATCTGAGCTATTTGGCTGTAAAAATTATTTTCATGTTCTGTTACTGATGAAGCCTTATGTTGCATATAATATTATTTTGTTTCATTCAGTAAATTATTAGAGAGCCTGAGGAAGGAAAAAGACTTCAAAATAACATACTCCAATGCCAATGAAATTAAAACATAAATTTAAGTAAATGTACATGACTACAGGAAATATAAATCCTTGTAAGTATCTTGCTGGATCAATAACAAAAACAGTAACTTAGCTGGAAAGCAAAGAAATAAGTATTTGTTCATAGGCATGTTTTCTTTCTTAACCCTTAGAGTCTGGTTTCCCCCTCCTTCAGAACAAGATCCAAAAAAACATTCAGAGACCATTACTACCTCTAGCTTGATGAAACGTCTTACTTGAACATTAAAATATGCTTACCTCCTCCCCCCACACAATACTCACTCTAATACATCCCGGTTGAACTGTTTTTGTCGATTTCCCAGAAATTCTCCGATCATCTGTCTGCTGAGACCTTTCCTTTGCAGGAGAAAGTGGGCAACACCAACTGGAGTGTCTGGCACAAAACCTCGCTCAATTAGGTACTGGACTCCTTTTTCAGGTTTTCTGAGGAGAAATGAGAATGCAAAACTATTAATTTTCTTCCACTGGACCTGAGGGCATCTGATTAAAATTTTACAACAATTTTGCCAATCACTTTTGACTAACATACTACTAGTATGGGCTAGTATAGTTCCAGGATAAATGTAACCATCCTGTAGAACATACTGTTCACTGTTAATAGCTTACTAGCTTTGAAACACATCTTTGCATGTTGTTACACATTTCTCTGCTCCATAACCCTTCTAAAGAGAAGCTTTATATGCAAACAGCTTCAGGCATGAAAGTCAAAACACTTGTCAATGCAAAAGACAAGACCAACATCAGCTACTAAGTACTCCTGTTGCTGGGAGAGATGTACCTTCCAGAAACCGAACTAAAAAGCTGCTGAAGAAAAACAAGAAACAAAGAAAACCCCTGACCTCCCACCCCCTTGCTGTCAAAAGCTGAACTCATTGAACAAAAACATCTGAAGAGGTATAACCTGCAAGCTGAGAATACAAAAAATAGAGCAAAAAAATAAAGCCAGTCATGCAAAAAGAAGCAATTAAAAATAGTGGGGCTCCCATCTAATTTAGACTTTTTTTTCCCTTGTCCTTTAACACACCCATTGCCCCAGATTTCTCTCCCTCAGACAAGCACCTTAATAATTTCTGCAGTATTTTACATCTCTTTATACATCACCTCCAGATTTAGCTGTAACCATTTTCAGATCTCAAAACAAAGCAAGCTGAAGCTACTCATTTTAACATATTAAGAAGCGTGTGCTGGGGAGGAGGGCTGGGTATGGAACTGGTTTCTGGCAATAAAATCTACTGCTTATGAAGCCAAATGCTGCTCATATTTTAAAGTGATGTAAAATTCCCCTTACAGCACATATTGTGCACTGCGTCTTCTAGCAGTATGACACAACAACCGTAATTTCTTTTAAAGATATTAAAGGGATATCTTTACAGAACCAGTAATTCCATCATCATCTTTATTTTGTAAGGAATTATAATACAATGTCCACCTGTAAGACTGAATGATTTGCAGCATGCTGGATGACCAGAAAGATATTTCCTTTAAGGCAAGCAAAATCAATTTCAAAGGACAAGGTGACCGTACTATTTTTATACGAGGTTGATCATACAACCATAACCGTTTCTCAGTTTTTTTAATTGCAAATAACATTACTGAATACATCACCATTCAGTTCTCCTACTCTTTTATATTATACTGTTATACACTTAATACCCTATTAAGAGTTAGATACATCAGAGGAATATATGTAATTTAATCAAAAGGGAGTTCTCAAATCTCAGTTTCTTGCATCAGGCTTGTGGCTCTCTTCATCCGAAATAAAATTACACGTAGAGTCATCTTCTAAGTACAATCTTGTAAAATCAATCTCTTTCATATTCAAAAAGTACCCATTTTCTTGTAAGTAACGTAACTGCTACATTCATATGCTTTTGAGTTGTATTTCAGAATTCTTAATCTTTCTAAATTTAAATTCACAGCATCTAACAAGAACAGGAATAGTTTTTTACTCCATCCCCCTTGTTAGTGAGCTACATTTGTCCATAAAATTCAGAGTGATATAAACCCAGGAGACTTCCTTTCCAGCAATTGTCAAAACAGAAAACAAAGAACACTATCAAAAAGCACAACTCAATCCAAAGATCACCTTTACTCGAGATATAGAAAATACTGAATCGTTACTTATTGTGCTAAACCACAACTTGAATTCTTACCATCCCCATAAGCTTGAACATTTAAAATCATCTTTGTGATGACACATGATTTATTTTGCACCAGTTCCTATGTAGCTGTATGATTTTATACAAGTCAGGGTCTGCTTTTTCATGTAAGAAGCTCTGCTTTTGGTTCAAGCAATATGAAATCACTTTCTTCAAATACATTTCAAAGCAGGCTAGGTAAGTCTCCAAAACAGACTTAAAAATCCACTTAACGGTACACTGGAAGCCAAAAGCTCTTTTCCCATCGACACTGTCTTCATGCTGAAGTGAAGCATCAGGATGTTTTACAGTCTAGGATTATTTGAAAGTAGTCCAATTTGTTACAAAAGTTGTAACATGGAAGCAATGTAAACTCTGAGCTGTAATAACATGAAAATAGTACCTGAAAACTCTGAACTGTAAGAATAAAGACTACCCTTTCCCTATTTGATAAATCAAACTGTGGTAGCAGTAGCATAAACTTCAGAGTAACAAACCTATAAGACTCTTTTTCACAGTGAAGAAACTTTATTTCTTTCTAATTCATGGCCCTACCCAACTGAATTTGCCAACTAGAGATCAAGAAAATTGTGTCATATTATTTTGAAATCTGTCCTCTAAAAACTGTGAACTTTGTTGTTCCTGAAAAACAACTGTAAACCTAGAGAGTATGACTGACCTCAGCTGAAGAGCTACTTGCGGGTTGACCCCAGCCAACAGCCAGGCACCCAGACTAAGCTGGTACGAGCTACTGCTAAAAATAAAGAACTCAAGAATTAAAGGGCTTCTCTAGAGAATTTTTAACAGGTGTCGAGATGAGAACTGTAACTTTCCGTAATGTTACTTTGATTTTTCTTTGAAGGTTCTGATAGTCATCACTACAACAGGGATAAAGGATTTCTTAGAGGAAGCATTAGCCGGACAATTGTTCTTAATGACAGAACCTATAGCTTCAGGTGGTCTTTTGGTATCTCACCCTAAGTAATGACAGTCTACAATAGAGTATATTCTAAAGGATGGCATAAAGGACAAGTAGCCAGAGGCAGGTGGTACCACTCTGTAGTTGTTAGGATATCACTCGTTGACCAAGGCAGCCTACAATGTTTTCAGTTTTCCTCTTAACAAAATCAACACTATTTGGCTCACAGAAGAACTCTGAAGGTTAGGGTTTGTATGGGAATGTGCACAAATAAAGTTCTAAATAAAGTAAGTTTCTGTGGCTAAATGTGGGTATTAAATATCAGAGGAAGAAAAATGTTCTTATCCAGTGGGTATCTCCCTAGCTTCCCATTCAAGTCATAAATGCTAATTTTGGCTTCTGTTCTGGAAGTCTAGCTTGCTGACAAAATTTCTTCATGTTTCTGGTTTTGATGATCTGAAAACTTGAATTAATTCAGCACTCTTGACCAAGAAATTGAATTTAATATGTACTAAATTTTATCAAACAGCTTACTGGAAGAACAATTGCTCTCTTTTTTTAAATAACTTTGCAAACTAGGGAGGTTCAGGGGGTTTTATTGCTGTTGTAGGCTCCCTCCCACCCCCACACCAGGTGTGACATTATCTTATTCAACGGGAAAAGTACTTAACAGAAAACTGACTTTGTAAGCGCATTCTGAAGTGCTGTACCTCCAATGAAATTTTACTTACAAAGTGAAGCTAACAATAGGTTAAGAGAAAAATGAAAGGCAAAAAATACCAGGTAGCTGACAGGGTTTCTGGGAGGGCAGGTTTTAAAAGAGAACACAAGCAAACAGGGATTCTACTGTTGGCAAAACCAGCTGTTTTAAACTGGACAAACTTTCTTTTTCACCAAACCCTAATTTTCCTAAAGTACATGACTAGATGCAGAAGGGCATGGGACATGAAAAGGTCATGGATTTAACACGAGATAGGACATCTAACATAAGTTATCCTCATTTGTGCCTACTCAGAATTGAGCGTAGACCGTTTTGTACTTACAACTAAGAGTCTTTTGTGATTAGGAAAATTTCCAGTGATGGCTTGTTAATTACACCTACGAATAACAGGGAAGATGAGAAGTCTATAAATAGCAATCGTGGAAGCTGCAAGAGCAGAGCATTTATTTTCAGATTGGAATACATTAACTAATATCAAAATACATCCTCTGAAGTTGGCACCTTACATAGCTGATGATACACACATATAGAGAACTATTCATATTTACAGGATTGCTTCCAAATTAAAGCTTAAAAATATCTTCTATCTCAAAAAAAACCCCAAAACCCCAACCAAAACAAAAAAAAAAACCCAACCAAAACAAATCAAAAGGAATCTACTGAAAGGAAGAAAAAACCAATCAACTAACACAAAAAGATGTGCAAAACCATATTTACTTAAGATTCTCAGATGTTGCATAAAGAGCTAAGGGATTTGCCAGAAACTGATTAATTACAAGACCTTTAGGATGGTTTAAAGCAACTTTTAGGGGAAAAACATCGATGGAAAAAGTAATGCAAACTTCAAAATAACAGATCAAACCAGTATATTTTAATAAGCATGCTTCTTAGAGAGTACTGGTCATATCCAGTAAAAATGTTGTCCTTGTGTGTTTCTGAAGATGGCTTGGATCCTGCAGCAATTTTTTGAAAATGACATCTTTAAGAGGAAGCAAATTGCAGGAATGAAGAGAGCAAAATCACCCACAGATAACAGTTAAAAAAACAAAAAGCAAAAACCCCAAACCCCAACCCACTCCCAAAGCCACTCCCTCAAAAACCAAGGCAATAGTAAATCCCTGCACATCACTGCTGTTTCCTCTAGTCAGTATTATGCCTTTCCTTCCTTGGCATAATACTAACTAGAAGGAGATGGCTTATTTACTCAGCAAGTCCTACATATAGTACTGAAAGTGTAAATTCAGTGGAAGTTCATATAACTTGCTGACATTTGTGTAGATCTCATTAGAGCAGTGGTTTGTTGGGGGTTTATAGCTTGTGAGGCTGAGGAGGAATTGGTTTTTTTTTCCTTTAACAGCTATGCAGGGTGAATCTGGAAAAGGTCAGTATGTTTATGAGTTTTGCTTATGTAAGTGATGTACGAAGCTTTCCTAAGAACGAGCTCTCCTTTGGAGTATGGGGTAGAAGAGAAAAGAAGAACAATAAATAGGGTAATAATACCAAAATTGGTATGTTCCTGAGAGGAGTGTCCCTTATCCAAGTCAGGAATATATAGAAAGAAGAAAAAACAAAACAAAACAAAAAACCCAGTATTTTTTTCATTAGACTAAAACCTACATGTATATAAACAGCACAGTATCTTTAC